CCCCCTCCTCCCTCCCTCCCCCTCCCTCCTCTCTCCTTCCCCTCCCCTCTCCGGCCCAGGCCCTGGAGGTGTGCCAGCTCGAGCCCTCTGGATATAACCCCAGTGGTTGGGTCACAGCACTTCAGGGCCTGTCTGTCACCACCCATCCTGTGCGTGTGACAAGGGGCAAGCCTGGGCCGCACAGCTGTCATTAAATGAGCTTCTGGTCACTCCGCCAACACGAGGTCATGTGACCTCACCCCTCACAGGCCGGGGCCCCCTACCATGGACTCCCCCCCACCCCCCGGGTCTGGTCCTCCACCGGTGCCAGGCGGTGTCAGCCCAGGCTGCCAGGCCCTCTGAGCAGAGGTGACGCCCCGGGGCCACTGGGGAAAGATCCAACTCCTGGTGAGAGATGGTCACCTGGCATCGGGAGGGGCCAGCGCTGGCCGCTGCCCACCCCCAGGGGCCAGCGCTGGCCGCTGCCCCGCCCAGGAACGCCAAGGCCACCACCGGGAATTGCGCCTGGACCCCAGGCGTGCGGCAGTGGTGTCAGAATGGCTGGCCCGGTCACTTTTCACGCCGGCAAAGAGCAGGTGGACCCAGGAGGCCTGCACGGTGCTCTCCAGGGACCCCCGCCACCTGCCAATTCACACAGATGTGAATGAGAATCCGTGGCCTTCGCCCTCTCTATAGGTGATTTTTCCTAGATAGTCCTGCTCCCGTCTACCCGGTATCTGTCCTCTGAGCCCCTGGCGGACAGGTGTTACGTGGGGTGAGGGAGCGCGTCTCCTGAGGCCATCCTCCATGCCCCAGGCTCCCCCGGGAAGCCTGGCTCACCGTTGCTGGCCCTGGGCCAGGTTCAAGGCCCTGTGTGCAGTTCCAGAGAGGCCCTGTCCCCTCCTGAGAGCCCAGGCTCCCCTGAGCCCCGAGACGCGCCAGCACGAATCCCGCCAGGGCAGCGAACTAGACGGATCCCTTCCCACAGGGCTTCAGGGGCTGGAAAGGAAACCAAGTACCATGGGCATGCCAACTGCAGAGACAGCCCCCCCAGCCGTCACTTCCCCCTCCCGCCCCGTCGCAGAGCAGCCCTGGACGCCTGGCCCAGCGGCGGTCCCTCCCACGTGAACCTAGTCCCAGAGGAAAGAACTGTGCAGAAGGGCGGGGACTGGGAAGGAGCAGCAGGCAGGTCCCAGCCGTGACCAAAAAGAAATGGCTAAACAGGCGTGTGCGTGGCACCGCCCGATCGTGGCACGGCCCGCAGCACAGGCGGATGGCGTGTGTCCACGACTCTCCCGTCCACACAACCGGGGCTCTTCTGGAAATAGCAGCGGTGATCACCGTCCGCAGACCACAGAAGAGGAAAGTGGGGAGAGGGGAGACCCAGACAGGAGGATTTCCTTTGCCAATGCAATCCCGTGTGAAGGGAGATTCAGATTTGTGTGATTGGCTCACAAATGCTCAGCAGATGTATCAGAGAGGCTCATCTGCCAGTCAGACATCAGAGCCTTGATTTAATTGTGTGTCTATTCTTAAACTGTCACCGTCCGTCTCCCCCAGCCAGGCCGGGCCTCTTCCCACCGCCCGCCCCCCACCAGAGCCACTCACCTGTTCTCTGCCCCCCCCCCCGCAGTTCGAGATGCTCACGGGGTCCCTGCCATTCCAGGGGAAGGACCGGAAGGAGACGATGGCCCTCATCCTCAAGTGAGTGGGGTGCCACCCCGGGAAGCTGGCCTCCGCGTGTGGGCGGGAGGTGGGGGGGTGGGAAGGGGGGTCTTCATGCTGTGTCGTCAGAATGTCCCCCCCAGCATCCCGCAGCCCGCCTGTGGGAGGGGGCAGCACTGTGGGGTCTGGGGTCCCACAGGGCTCAGGGGTCATCCATTCATTGTCCCTTCTGGCACCCCACAGCATGGCACAGAGGACTCGGGTGGAACCGGCCAGAACCTGGCCACACCGTCCTCCGGCTAAAGGCCTTCTCCCGCTGGTCACCCGTCGAAACACTGGGGTGTGGCTGGGTTACCTGGCTTGTACCCCACTTGGAGGAATGGTGACCCTGGCCCGTGACCCAGACCCCTCTGGAGTCCTTGAGGATTTCCAGTGTGAACGGTCCTGAGATGGGGGTGTGGGCCAGGGCCGGGCTGCGGGGAGCCGGTCTCTGCTGGTTCCCGCTGGTCTCTGCCGGTCTCCCGTCCGCAGGTGCTGAGCGGATGGGGGTGTGGGCCAGGGCCGGGCTGCGGGGAGCCGGTCTCCGCTGGTTCCCGCTGGTCTCCCGTCCCGCGTGCTGAGCGTGCCGTGTCTTCCAGGGCGAAGCTGGGGATGCCACAGTTTCTCAGCGCGGAGGCCCAGAGCTTGCTCAGAGCGCTCTTCAAGCGGAACCCCTGCAACCGGCTGGGTAAGGCTCCGTGCGCCTTCCATTGGGGTGGGCAGCCATGGCTCAGGGACCCCGTGGGCAGGCTGGGAGCGGGGCGGCCTCTCCTGTGGGCAGGTCGGGGGGGGCGTCCTCTCCCGTGGGCAGGCCGGGGGGGCGTCCTCTCCCGTGGGCAGGGGGGCGTCCTCTCCCGTGGGCAGGCCGGGGGGGGCGTCCTCTCCCGTGGTCAGGTCAGGGGGGGGCGTCCTCTCCCGTGGGCAGGCCGGGGGGGGCGTCCTCTCCCGTGGTCAGGTCAGGGGGGGCGTCCTCTCCCGTGGGCAGGGGGGGCGTCCTCTCCCGTGGGCAGGCCGGGGGGGCGTCCTCTCCCGTGGG